CAGTTAGACTTTGCTAATCTGTGTAGAAGTCCTGCTTCTTAATTTATATTTCCTGTCCAATACATAGATGCCAGAGATGCTGCAATTAATGCAACTTTTTTCAGGAACTATATTCAATACACCAACAGGTCAATGAGACGTATGTTTCTACTGGTTTAGTTGGAGACGTGTTAACCCTTTTTAAAACAGATCCATCTTAACCAGACTGGATAGAGGGCATCTGCAGACAACAATATTTTTGTCTTCATACAGATTTCATACATAATCTCGTAATAATTAAGGTCTGTATATTGATTAGGTCATTCTTACACACAAATATGAAATGATGAAACATTGTAACGTTTGCTGTATGTTTAATGGAAGGTCTCTTAGTAAGTCTAAATGTCACGCATGTTTTCTTCCATGGTTTTTCTGTAATTACTTCCATCTTTCTTTTATGAAAGGATTTCCTGTCCCTGTGGGGGGAAAAAATCCCCACAATTTGATGGTGTCAAAATTGCACTGTGGGGATGTGTTCAAGTGGGATGTCTTAAGAGTTTCCTTTAGTTGTGGATTTCTTTTGACCACTTTAAAGACAAGATTTGTAGAGTATAAACCGATAAAGCCCTAAAAACTCATTGTTTCACCTGAGCTCTGGATCTGTGAAACTCCTCCAGAATTATCATCAGCCTCTGTTGCTTTTCTCTTTTTGCTTGACCTGCCAGTTTAGATAGACGGTGCATTTTGAAAAGTTTGGAGCTGGTTTTACAATCTAATCCAGCTTTAAATGTAATTCCAATCATCTGTTTTCTTTGGTTTTTAGTTTAGTGTTCTCTTTACGACCTCTTAAATGTTCACAGAGCAGCTTGGTTTGTACGAACATCTGAAATAATTCTTTGTTTGGAAAAACTTATTTTTTATCACTCATTTCAGTAGTAAAAGTCATAATATAGCTTGATTACACAAAGAGCACAGTGTTATTTCTTTTCATTTTAATCACGTTAAGTTTAACAGAAAATTTGCTACTTTATAGGTGTGTACAATATAGAAAAGGTATCCTATACTAGGATGTCTTACAGATTTGACCTCTCGTGAATCCCTGGAGACGTTGGTTAATGTGGCAGATACAAAAACTTACATATTGTTGGATCACTGTAAATACTGAGGCTTTTTTTTTTTTTTTGTCTTGGGGAGCTGTGGGCTGACATTGTGCAGCCCCCAGGGAGCAGTGTGGGTTTAAGGGTTTTGTGAAGGAATCCAAAGTGCAGGCAGTGGGGATCGAACTGGGTACTTACAACCTTCTCAGAGCACAAGCGCACTGCTCTAATCCCTAGTCCAACACTCCCCATATAGTGCAGAAATAGCTTGATTACATTTGTGATGTGCCTAGAAAAAATAATAGCAAATGGCAGTTTTTCAGTTTCGTGCAGTAAAAAGTGTGATTAGGCTGAAGGGCTGCGCCCTCACAGTCCTCAATGGCTGTATTTACATTTGTCCTTCAGGCTCCTGTTGGCCGGCTAGTCATCTGCTGCACAGCTCTGAGCCATTTAACGCCTCTGACTGGGACAGACAGATCGAAACGGGAAAATAGACATTTGATGTTGGAAATGCAAGACAAGGGAAGTCTCAGTCACTCCCTCCTCCTGGAGCCTGTAGGAAGCTGTAGTCATTGGCTCCTCCCTGTCTAGACCAAGAACCACTTGTGCGTCCGCGCACACACTAACTCCTTTCCTACTAGCATAGCAACTTTGATTAATTCCCAGTGTGCTGTGTGAGGAGACAGCATCAGTACCGTGGTCAGGGGAGAAGGAACCGAGTCTGCTGGATGTGACAGCTCCCTGCTTCACACTGATGCCTTAGAGTGTGGAGGTGTGTGCGTGTGTGTAGCATGAGTGAGGGTAGGATACATGTGTGTAAAAAGCCTCATCTGTCCCCTCGGCCACATCAGTGCTCAAGCATGTCTTGCCATGACAGCCTAGCCGCCTGGGTTCCTGTCACACTCCCGCACACAGACAGAGGAGCACTAACACCAGTGAGGTGAAGGGTCACAAACGACTGCCTCTCCAATGTTGTGTGAAATGTGTAGTTGACCCAGTGTGTGTGTGTGAAAATGTGAATATGTATGTGTCTATGTGATTTGAATCTGCTGGTAGTGGTGAGGGGGGCATCTCAAAGTAACTGGTTATTATCACCTCAATATTTTTCTTATTATGACAATTACATGCTCTAGGAGCAAATTAAGTGATAGAGGGCGGCAAGCAGGAGTGGTTGACAGCTATTTGGAGACTCAATGCACAGAGCAATTTGCAGCCCAGAGCCAAACAAATTGGATTTGGGCCACTTTGGATATGGGCCCCAGATTGTTGGGCGTTTGGTCCTGAGATCTGCCGTGAGCTGGTTAGCTGCCTTTAATTCCTTATATGGAACCAGAGCCAACAATGCTCCATGGCCACCAACAATATTTAAACCCTATGTTTGGATATGCATCATTCCTCACTGTCTTTGGGGAATGTACAATTTCAAGTCTATGAGCATTAAGAGTCTCCACCTCTGCATGTTAACCAGCACCACTATTTTTTGGTCTTGGGCCCCACAGCTGTGCTCAAGTGTGTGTATAATCCAAATGAGCCTAACAGCCTCTAAACGAATTACTGGTACACATTTTGCCACCCCTAAACTGCCACAGGAAAAGCTGGCAACAGCACCCAATTAGGTGAAATGCAATTATTCCGATCCATTCACACAATTAGCCTGCAGGTTAACAACCTAGCTGCACATTCTGCAGGCTCCTGGTGTTTTTGGGAAAGCTGCGGTCACACTGGCTCTCACAGTAAACCCTCCGTGTCAAAGAGCATCCTCCTGAAGCAGACAGTGGGACAAATAATAACATTCAGCCCCATTGGTGGAGGCAGCACATGACGCTAGTCAGCTTTGTGCAAAGGACGACTTGATTGGTTGAAGTAGGGAATAAAATCATGGGTTAGAGAAAAGAAAGAAAGTGGATTTTGTGCCCAATGGAGCAAAGGTACATAATGCCAGGCGACAGACTGCCAGGCAAACAAAGCAGGTGGGCATTCACAGAACATTGTTAAAAAAACAAAAGTTCTGGGTGTCATAGTTGAGATTGCATTAACCAAAAAAATCAGGCGTGGTTGGACTGCCACACTGACTTGATTGTCTGCTCTACCGGCTTATCTAGGGACCAGATATGGGAAGAAGGGATGGGAGTTTCCTGTCTCCTTATTTAGCTGATATCACATAAAAAATGCTTGTTGTTTCAACCCTAAACTGATAGTATGACAGAGATAATATTTTTGTTGATATCAATTCAAGCAACCAGATTCTTTAGATTAATCCAGGTTTTTCTTTAAACTATTTATCAGATGTCAGCTTTTAATAAAATAGAATCATTAGTTTTTTATTTATGCAGGGTTTCAGCTTCATCATCATTAGGTTGATTTACACAGCCAATAAAAGCTATAAGAAAAATCTGATCAATATAAAGAGAATTAAGATAATGAGAAAAATAATTTGTTGAGTAAAAATATGTAATTTCAAGAAAGAATGAACTTGAGCGATATTCTCACAGTATGGAGTAAATATAACACTATTCGGCATCAATATTAACTAGTAAGCTGATAAGTGAAACCATCTCCTCTGTACACCTTTAACTGTTTAAAACATCATTATTTCAAAACGACTGAATTTTTTATTTCGGTGAGCAAATGGAAATTGTGGAAGACCTCTTTTATCATATCCCTTCACTCCAAGAACCTCTGTGATAGGTGTCTATCTCTGTAGGCTGTAATCTTGATTTCTTTAATATGCCCAATAACTGTTTTCTGCAAGTTCAATTATGTAATTTATTTGCCTGTCATTCATGTAGTGAACAATATAGAGAGGGACTATGATATCAGCCTTGCGGGATGCCACTGAAAAATGAAATTTATAATAGCACTTTAAAAAAAACAATACAATCATGTAAAGATAGAATTCCAAAGGTTGGAACCCTTATTAGTTAAAACAGATTGTATGATGAGTATTAAAAGCACCACTGTATTTTACAAAAAATATTCTGACTTTTCTGGCTAGAATCACATATTTTTCTCTCACAGTTCTTCCCCATCAGTCACACTGAGGGACAATCTTTGTTGACAGTGATTGGTTAGGGCTCAGGTGGAATGGGGCTGAAGAGTCCATGGGCTCTGGTATAGCTGCTAGGATCAGCTGGCATTTACTCGCAGCTCTTCCACTTTTTTCCTTAAGTGGGCACCAACCAGAATAACAGGGGTCATTCACAGGTGACTTCTCCTCATAGGCGCACACATCTGAGCCACAGCCTCACTTCTTTGAGAATATATGTGGGTTGTTTGGTTGGTGGACAGACATAACAGTTCGTCTCATCACTTCATATGCGGTCTGCTCCATCACTTCACTCTTAGCTTCTTTCGGCGCTCCTCACTTTTATGCAGTCAGCGGCATGTCAGAGGTATTATTAGAGGATTTCCTGAAATCGTTTTAGAACGGGGGACTACCTCTTTAGTGCACAAACACTTAGACACACACACAGAAATATGGGGCCCATCGCTCACCACAGGGAATTGAAACCGTAATATGAACTCACCCTTGGTCTGAAGGAAAGACCATTACAATTTATCTTTACCACCACAGCTTAGGCAGTTTGTTCTTTGGCATGTTTGGGATTTCCTACCAGTGTCACTAGAACTATAAAGATATTTTCTTAAGGGTGTTGAGTGTCGTGTAAAAGTCAGCTTTAATTTACACACATTAAAATGAAAGCTGTAAAGTTCAAATGTGTCTGACAATTACTAACCGCATATTTAATCTTTTTCCCATTATATTTGCAGAGTCGCTTCTTCTTTATGACATAACGGGCTCTGAGAAAATTATGTTCGTGCTTGAGCCTAAACCTAAATCTGCCACCTGCTGCTTGTCAGCTCTCATCAAATGCTTGGATGAGCTTCACAAACACTCACTGCAAGTCTCTGCTTCTCTTCCAGGATCTCTCTGGCTCAATTGATGACCTCCCTACAGGGACAGAGGCCGGACTGGGCTCGGCAGTCGGTGCTGGTGGATCCTCCAATGGCAGCAGTAGTAGTAGTAGTAGCCAAGGGGAGCCAGGAGGCGCCAGTAACCAGAGGCAGTCCCCCTTTTCTCCACACGCCTCACCTCACCTCTCTGGCCAGAGGAGTGGGCTCTCTCCCTCTCCAGTGGGATCCCCTGTGGGCTCCACTCAGTCCCAGCAGTCTCGTTCAGGCTCAGGACCAATTTCTCCTGCCAGTGGACCCCCTGCTAACACCACAGCTCCAGGTACAGTTTCTCTTTGATCCAAATGTATTTTAATTTTCTGGTTTAACTTGATTAAAAAGTAAGCATGGGAGCTATAGTTTGGTTTTGGTTTTATTTTAATACTGGAATGTGGCCTTGACACCAGAAACAAAGCCACGTTTCAAATGTTGTGTTCTAAGTTCCTACCGAAAGTTTCTTTAGGATTTTTTTAGGAAAGTGCTGCTAGAAAAGCAAAAGAAAGAAGGTCAGAGCATCCCTGAGTCAGTGAAGTCAGGAAAGATGTATTGGATTTGACAGCTAATGAAAAATACCTGCTGTGACATGTCTGATCCACCTTTCAAGTCAAACCACTCATGCCAGACCTACTGTATATTTATGAAGGAGGAAAATAGAAAACGGTATTCAGCATCTGTTGCAAATTAAAATCTTAATTGTGAGGCTTGCATTCTCAATCAATCCTCTCAGTCAAAACATTTCAGAACCACCTTTTAAGGCAACAAGGCTGCAAGTCTCTATAGGTATGTCTCAACTAGGTTTCCACATTTAGTGGAAAAATCAAAATAAAATAACTTTAGTTTAGAGCGTTATGATGCTCCTACCAGCTGCCATGCAGGGAATAGCATGCTTTTAGTTTTTTGCCATACATATCTCAAGAATTTAATTTACTAGAACTCTGTTCTTTAGAAAATGCCAGAGACAGAGGACTCAATTATGCAGCCAAACGCAGGCATCGTTTCTTAAATGCATGGACAGAATCTGAAGAGCCGAAATTTAGCTAACACAAGTAGTAAGTATTTAAAGAACCTTCTAAATAGTAAAATATTGCTCCAATAACTAAAATGACTGTGAGGAGGGAAGCATATCTCAGTAGTGTTTAGGGAACACTGAATGAAAGCCACTAACCTTCTCAGAACCCAGGAGGTTACTCTGGCTCTAATGAATGATTCTAGAGACTCTGTATGGATGATTGCTGGACAGACGCCAGACAGGGTTAAAGCCAGCAGAGGGGTTGTAGTCAGTCAGGGGTCATGCACATAGAGGCATTCCACAGGGCAGAGGTTTCCAGAAGGGCTAGACTGGAGGGGAATCCAGAATCCAGGTACGAGAATCGGTAACAGGAGGCACATTAAACAGACAGATGTCTCTAGAAGCAAGAGGCAAATCAAAATGTCCAGGCTTGGGTCATTAACGTCTGACAGAAGCAGGGTGGTGGATTACTGAAGCTTAAAAACTATATTTCAGACATTTAAGGGGTCATAGACATGGTCTTGGTCCAGAAATCAGAAACCATTGAGTTGCTACGCAAGAGCATGGCACGGGAATTAAGAAAAATATAAAGAAGTTATAGACAGACAAGGCGGGCAAAGCATGCTTGACGTCTACATTCTCTCACATAAAGGCTTTTGGTGCAGACTAACTGAGAGGTTCCTATGTTTAAAGCGGGAAAACAGGTCAAAGGAATGATGGCGATCGTCATGCTCGTTCAACTGGTGCAGCAGATCTCAAAAGGGGATCTAGCAGTCAGAATGGCCAGAATCATAAAATATTCCACATTTCCTGTGTTTCCTACATGGATACCAGCAAACAATCAAACTGGGCTAACAAGATTTCTTACATTAATCACTTTCTTAATGATGCTCTACCATAATGGCCTACTCACAGAGTCATGCATACAGTAGTCCCAGCTCAAAAATGAGCTTTAAGTCTTTAAAGCCTCCGAGAGCTACAATGGGCTTGTTTTCTTCTCTCAAATTGGTGAAATTTATTTTGGCAGCTCCTAAAGGTAACCGTGAAATTGCATTGAAATCTATTTAGTGGTTCCAGTTGAAAAGAGACGGGATATAAAGGCTCGCAACCTATTACACATTTTTATTTGCATAAAAATGTAAAAATTTGTATCAGTTATTTATTTTCACTATATGGTGCTGTTTAATCGCTCTACATAGAATTCCTGAAGTTTACTGACATGTGACAAAATGTGAAAAAAAAATTAGGGTGATGTAAGGCCACTTTGTCATATCTGTGAATAAGACCAATCCTTTTTTCTTCTCTGTTTGCATTGGTCAGCCCAATTGTACACCCTTGTTCCTTTATAATTGAGTAATCAAATCAAAGTTTGTGTTGTTTCTACTCCATTTTTATTTCTTTCAGATGTTTTCAATTTAAGGACGGTTATGTTGCAAAGTTTCCTTTGTTGAGAATGTTAATGTTGAAGCCAAAGTAAGAGAGTCTAAATGTTTTTTTTTTTTTGTTAGAATATACCAGGCATGTTCAAAGTCTGCTGTCCTGCAGGTTTTAGAGTTTTCCCTGCTTCAGCACAGCTGATTCCCGTTGATGGCTGATTAACAGCTTATTGTTGAACTGTAATCATCAGGATCTGCTGTGTTGAATCAGAGAATCCTCTAAAACCTCCAGGACAGTGGCCCTCAAGAACCGACTTTGGACATGCCTGGACTACACCATTGGACAAACACATTATCCATGCAGTTTTAAATTTTACTACCTAAATAAAGCTCTTAACTCAACATGGTGATCTGTTGGCAATGCTGATGTTCAAACTGATTTTCAAAAACATTCTCCATTTAGTCTGACCCAGAGCTCCATTCGAAAGAAGAATGCTCAGTAAGTGTTCATCTTTAGAGGTGGATCTTTAGATACGTGCCCTAGAAGACATGCAACACAACAGCATTCACATTTTTATTTCTTAAAATAATTCAAAACTATTCATAATTTTCCCGAAGTTTAAGAAATACTGTTTTGTGCTAGAAACACCCAGTGAAGATTGTAGGTATTAAGTCCTGCAAGGCACTGCATCTCCATATTTTCTTGCTACGAGGAGTGTTATTTTGTTATGACAGACTTACGGTTTGATTTCTCCTCAGATTTGTAGCCTTTTCTTAAATAAATAAAAAATTATATTAACAGGACTATCAGACAATAGGCAGAGTTTCAGATTTTCTCCTGAGGCTAAAACATTTAGATAAATAAACAGTGAGCGTTGTATGTAAATGAACTCTTGCTTTTCCTGCTACACCCTTATGTGTGTGTGGCCTTCATGACATCCTGCCAGAGAATGAGCAGCTGACCGGCTCATCAGCCTGTCTACGACCTGCCAGTCACTTCGACAAGGAGGGGCAAAGTGTCTGGAGTGAGATCCAAACTCCAACTCCTCCACCTTCTCCTCCTGCTCTTCCTCTCCCCCCCTCAGTCTCTTACACAAGTGATTGACGCTAATGAAAAACTGGGACAGCAAGTTGTTTTTTTTTTATTTCAGGCACTCTTGCCAAGAATCATGACAAGAATCAAAATAAAGACAGGAGGCGAAACTGATCGTTTGGACACGATTAATAAGAAAATATTTTTAGGTATATAAGTAAGTGATGATAAAGCAGGAAGCAGTTAGTAACATCTGGCATGATTTCACTGATGTACTACAATCAGTTTCAATTAGATCGAGAAGAAGCCAGCTTTGGAGAGATAGAGTAGAACTGATGTGGTTATCACCCACCTGATTACAAATGCATCAATTCGTAACACTTTGTCAAAAGTAGGGACGTATCTGTTGATGTTGAAGCTTTACTTTCCTCTGAGTACAGGCGAGAGTTTTTGCAAACTGTGTGTGATTGCTTTTTGGGCTATTAAACCTAGTTGTGTCCTGTAAAAAAAAAGAAATAAAAAATTCAGACGATGACAACGAATAATAAGATATTAAAATTGTGTGAAGACCTCATCTGCTGCAGTTTGAGCTGCAGTCAAAAAAAAAAGTCAAAACACAGCCTTTCCAGCAGCTCTTCATTCTGCTCCATTTAGCCGGCTGTCAGTAGAGAAATTGGTATTTCAGGTTGTTTCTTAAATTGATTCTGCACCTCAACTGCTGTCAGAATCGGTTGTTTTCATTGACATTTTTTGGTATTTCGATTTTTTTCCCCCAATTGGACTTAATTATAACTGCCATAAATGTCACCACATGATCATTTTTGGATAGTTTTGCCAGACTACCGTATAAGTGCAAAGAAATTAGAATATGATAATAGTGTTTTTTTGATACTGAATACAAAATTGTTTCTTGTGCAAAAAAAATGTCTTGAGGTGGGACAAGAATATATTCTAGACTTGGCACAAATATTTATTATTGCTTCATAATATCCTACTCTCACAAATGCAAAAAGGTGCGATTTCTTAAGCTCCACTGTGTATTTTCATGGCAACTGCATTTATTTGTCATTTTACTGTAATGCTTCTACTAAACTTAGAGTTTTGGGCACGGCACATTACTCCAAAACATATTTACACACAGGTGTAATGTGTGTTCCTTAACGGGAGCGTCGTACACTTTAATATATCAGCCCAGATCGTCCAATCAGATGGAATCTTACATAAAAAGTCAAGTGTCTGTGTGTTTGAGAAATGGCCAGCGAGTTTTGTTGCTTTATTAAAGGGTTGTGTGACCTCCAGTGTTGAGGGGACTTGGTCATAATAGTTTTTGCTTCATTCTTTTAATTGAACTTGATGCCAGGTTTTTCTTGTGCAGACTACAGCCTCGCCTTGTTGCTTGGATCCAGAATCCAGCAGAAAACACAGTGAATGCTGTTTGCTATTAGAAGCCAAGTCTGAGCTTTTCAGAAGCAAACACTCTAGATAGTTTTAGTGCAGAGCTGTAAAATAAATCAGAGTGCAATCAGAAAATCTGTGGGCAACACTAAATCGGCATGAAACGACTTTGATACTGTATTTTAGGTTATGATTTTTAGGTTTCATGCATTTACACTTTGCCTATTTGTAATATATTCTGTATCTTAAGGCTAACACTGGAAATCTTTCATCGAGAAGATACGCTATAGATTGTGGTGAGAACACTTCTAGGGACAGATCTTAAAATAAGGAATAAACATCATTAGTATCTATTTTTCTTTAAATTGTCATCAATATTATGGCAATGGAATAGCTTAATCCTTGTCTAGCCTAAATTAAGGGGTGAGTTTATTTAAGCTCTCTTTTGCATAGATCTAGTAGTTCACATT